TCGGAGAAAAATTTTACCTACATTCTGCAGGGGGTAATAGTCGCTAAAACACCAAAAATGCCCAAAAATGGTCATTTTTCCGGGTAAAATCGACTTTTCCGGAAAACTGGAGGGTGATGGGAAAAAACGGAGGTCATATTCGGATTCAGCGCCTCAAAATACATAAGGATCACTTTATCTCGTACGGGAGACATTTTTGTCATTTTTTTTAAGTTGCACAGTGTTTCGTTTTCGGCTTAAATGATAGTAAGTACTTGTATCCTACTTTAACCTTCCGAAGAGACTTTTTGGTGTCATCGACTTTTCATTTAAAGTTGGTTTAGACGAGCCGTGGACAGTATTTGGCCGATTCCTCTGCTCTGCTCCCCTCCGCTCGCGAACCCTGGCTGTCGCGTGTCGCTGTTGTCTCTTAACATTTTGTTGCCAGGAATCCTAGGGAGAAAAGTGCATTATTCCAACATATTATCTAAGTATTTATCGATGAAAATGCACGGGGAAGGGGAACTCGTGAACAGCTCGTAATCAGTGGATCCTGAAATCAGTATTGTGCGTTTCATGACGGAGTTGCCATTGAAAAAGTCGCCGATTACTTACGAAATCCGCGCTATTACTAGTTTTCTCGTTGCGAGTAATGAAACTTCTGAGGCTGCCTATTCATAAGAAGTTAGTCGCCGTGTACGGTGGTCCGTCTATAATTTATACAGGGTGTTTCAGACCACCCATACCAGGCCTTTTTCTCGGTTATTTTAGGTCGTACGAAGTCGGGGACCGCGGGGTTAAATAGGAAATTGACCCCAAGGAATCCGAATTTCGTGGTCCCGAAATCCCCCCACCTCCCCTTGGGGGGTAAAGGGGGGGTCACGATGCTAAAAGTCACGATTCCCGACCGAATTGCGGATGAATCGCATCAGAATATAAAAGCTCGGAAAATTTCACGTGAAATTGACCCCTAAAAATCCAAAATCGGCCCATCCAAGGTCCGAAAATGACCTCCTAAAGAGGGGGACAGTACCCCCCTCCATAATTTCTCTTTGGTCTCAAAATTGACGTAGATTCTCCAGAAAAAGACGGTTTCCCAGGTAATCGACCCCGAGAAGTCCAAATTTCATGGTCCCGAAGCTCCTCTAGCTCCCCTTGGGAGGTAAACGGGGGGCCAAATTTTAAAAATCGGGGCTCCTTTCCGAATCGCAAATTGATTGCATCCAAATTGAGGAGCAGAACACTTTTACATCTTTAGTGACCCCCAAGAGTTTTAATTGACCCCCTTGAACGCCAAAAAGTAACCCCTGAGGAGGGAGGTTTCGCCCTCTCCAAAAGTTTCTCAAGATTCCTCTTTGGTCGCAAAATTGACGTTGATTCTCCAGAAAAAGACGGTTTCCCAGGTAATCGACCCCAAGGACTCTGAATTTCATGGTCCTTGAGCTCCGCTATCCGCCCATTTGGGATTACCTGCAGGGAAACCGTCTTTTTCTGGAGAATCGACGTCAATTTTGCGACCAAAGAGGAATCTTGAGAAACTTTTGGAGAGGGCGAAGCCCCCCTCCTCAGGGGGTTACTTTCTGCCGTTCAGGGGGGTCAATTAGAATTCTTGGGGGTCACTTAAGATGTAAATGTGTTCTGCTCCTCAATTTGGATGCAATCAATTTGCGATTCGGAAAGGAGCCCCGATTTTTAAAATTGGGCCCCTCGTTTACTCCCGAAGGGGGGCAAGAGGAGCTTCGGGACCATGAAATTTGGACTTCTCGGGGTCGATTACCTGGGAAACCGTCTTTTTCTGGAGAATCTACGTCAATTTTGAGACCAAAGAGAAATTATGGACGGGGGGTACTGTCCCCCTCTTTAGGTGGTCATTTTCGGACCTTGGATGGGCCGATTTTGGATTTTAAGGGGTCAATTTCACCTGAAATTTTCCGAGCTTTTATATTCTGATGCGATTTATCCGCAATTCGGTCGGAAACCGTGACTTTTAGCATCGTGACCCCCCTTTACCCCCCGAGGGGAGGTGAGGGGATTTCGGGACCACGAAATTCGGATTCCTTGGGGTCAATTTCCTATTTAACCCCGCGGTCCCCGACTTCGTACGACCTAAAACAACCGAGAAAAAGGCCTGGTACGGGTGGTCTGAAACACCCTCTATAATGGTCTGTAAATGGCGGATTCAGTTTCTGCATGAGCGCGAAAATGTGCACGACAAAAAACGATTCGGACATCCCAGTCATGCTTTAGGAGACGATGCTGCGATCTATACCATTGGAAAGATTGTTGAAGAGGATCCCTGGTACAAAATCGACAAATTTTGTGATGCCTCCAAGTTTTGAAATCGGACGCTCCAGTGTCACACAAATTTTAACGGATCACCTCGGATTGCGGAACATGTGAGCACAATGGGTAGCGCGGCGCATCGTTTGGTGGACGGAACCCGCCGGGAGTTGTTCACGTAAAAATTGACTTTCTCGGAAACCAGTGATTCGCAATTAAAAATCATGGTGTTGATAGAGAGCTAAGGATATAAGAAAGAAGCTTGTTTTTACCGATTTGATTTATCTTTTTTAGTTCCCGAGATTTGAAAGGGGTAATTTTACTTTTAGGATGACCTTCGTATTAGCAGCAAAATTACGCGGCAATTAAGGGCCTTATTGACCCCTCTATGATCACGCGCCGTTGACGCGCGCACCGTCGCGTTTCACGTAAATTGCTCTCGTGCATGGGTTTGTTTTTCCATCGTACAAATTTGGTTTTGGGATAAAATTAATTAACCCATGTCAAGCTTACGTCTGATTATAATAACTGAACACTCATATGTATTCGCCCGTTAGACATTATCTAACAGCAAAATTTTCGAAAATTTATTTTTTTTTCACTTGAAAATTTTGAAAAATTATCACGATGACGCCAAAAATTTTTAGAGAGCTGATTCTCCATGAACATTTCTGCTTTTAAAAAAAGTTGATTGAAATCGATTGCACAGCGATACAGCGCATTGAAGGGTCGTGTTGGCCGTCTAGGGCGCCGGAATGGGTCCCGTGGCGCGCAACACTTAAATTGCTCTTACGAACTTATTTTTATCATCGCACGAAAATTGTATGGGTATCAAATTAAAGGCCAGACAATTCTACGTCTCATTATGAAGAAGCAAAATATTCATTTTCTCGCCTGTCAAAAAGTTATTTAACCTCGAAAATTCCGAAAATGGGAACATTTTCAGTTTACACCCATTTATAAAGAAAATATAAGTCTAAGGCCTTGTCTCCACGAGCCGTTTCACGAGATTTGTCCCAGGGAAAAATCCCACTTACGAAGTTGGGAAAAATATTGAGTTAATCAATATTTTTCCCAGTACCAAGTATGGTACTTGTACCCCTAGGACCCACTGAGAGAAGAAGAAGAAGTGAAAACGAATTGTGCGATTCATTACTACATTGTTAATGTTTGTTTAGTTAAAATAATGTGTCTAATTGTCAATTGAGTGCAATCATTATTTTAATCCCGGTTAAACACCCGACTTTAACCAATTTATCTTCCCGCGAAAACTAGTCGCAGGACTGTATGAGCCCCGTCCCGTGGAGACGGTAACTGGAAAAAATCCCAGAAGTTTCATTCCTGCGATTCAAACTTGGGACAAATCCCATGAAAACGTCCCGTGGAGACAAGGCCTAATGGAAAAATTGGTAAGGAATAAAATCGTTCTCCTAGAAATTACCTTTCATCAAAAAAAAAAAAGAAGTTGATCCGAATTAGGTCAATAGCAACAGAGGTACAGCGCTTAGAAAAAAACCAAAATGACGGACTTTAACGGCCGCCATCTTGCTCCAGTGGCGGGTCTTTGAGTGTTGCCCCTTCCAGAATTACTCCTGAGGACACCACCAATGAGCCCTGAAAGCGGCAATATACCAATCAAAAAGCGCAGGGTTTTTTCGTGTAGGCAACGGACTAACGGGCCAACTCCCGCTCTAAAGAATCGCTTGGGAAGGGCCGACCGGTGAGCCACTGCTTGGAGGGAGAATCAAGACGGGCAGGGGGAGCAGCACGTTCGAATCTAAGTCCGGCCCTTCCACAGGGCCCTTTACTGCAGAGCGCTACTCTTACCTCCGCTCCGGTGCGCTATCTCCCCCCCTCTTTCCGTCGCGGTTGCGATTGCTCCCTCCAAAGCAGGTGCTCTCTAATTTTATACCATGTCGCTCACTTGGATCTCCTTGGTGATGAATAAGACAATTCTCAATTATGTTTTAAATGCATAAAGGTGTTTTTTCCTTTTTTTTCTCTTTGGAAACTAATATAATTTAAAAAAAAATCTATAAGCTGTAGAAGTGAGACTAGAAGTACCTCGAATACCTAAGTGGCAAAATCGGGAGTTTAGAGCAAGATGCCGTCTTTTATTGCTCATAGATTTAGAAAAAAGTTGAGCGACCTGAAATATAAGTGAGAGATTAAAAAATAAAACTACAGTTTTCCAAAACGTTCCATCAGATTTCATCCGAACGACAGAGTAAATAGAGGGTCGCGAGAATCTAAATTTTAACAATTTTTCAGGGAGGCTCCCTGAGGAGGGGAAGGGGGCTACGCTAAACCACCCCCCCCCCCCCCCCCCGCCGATGGCGAACGCTACACCTTGCCCTATCACTAAACCCATCGCATGCCCCTGGAGTTGTGAAATATTTCTTTCTATCTCTGTATTAAAAATGAGAGACAGAAGTTTTAAAGCGGTTTTTTTTTGCGTTTTGGCCAAGCCAAACTTTTAAACACGTCGACTTCACGGCATTGCGAAATTTAATGGTGGAAAAGGATTGAAGCTTTGTCGCATGTTCCTACAATTAAACTACGTATCCAAACAAGGAGAAATGGGCGACTAGAAAAAATAAGAGATGATTTCATAATAAAAGAGTAGATTGGGAGAAGAGGGAGGATACGGTTGACTTACTTATATTTTTACTTCCCTGGTCTCATGCAACATCCTTCATAATATCATTTTTATGGTCGCATACGATTGTAATTATAGATACCTGTTGTGGATGTAGTGAGTATGGCGAGGAGCTGTATGAGTGAGTGAAAGGAGAAGAGGAGCATGTGTGTCCAGGGTGAACGATAGCATGTTTTAGTGATAGTAAAACGTCAGCCATATCATGTGGTTCCCTTACTCCAACTTCATCTCCGTTTTTACCGATCAATGTGCTGAATTCACTCCTGCAATATATAGTAGATTACTTAAGTATAAATGGGTGCAAATGAATGGAAATAGTTATCCTAGTAAAAATGACTCATGAGAACCCATACGAACATTGTCAAATAAAGCTACATGGTTAATTGACCCACAAAAAAACCGTGCTCCCCAAAGGAGTCCCATAGGACCTCGGACAAGAATTTTTTTTTTGGAAAACCAACGCATGGAAAGTCATTAATTTTTAATTCAAGTAGAGGTATAAAAAGAGAAATAGACTGCCTTTTTAAAATTCTTTAGAACATGCACTGATACACAATACAAGTTGGCCCAGACTTACCGTACCTACTTGACTTTTTTCTAGGTAGTCCAGTAAACAAAGACGTATAGGGCCGATTTCCGGCCAAAAATTAACATACGGCTGGGTTCAGGCCGAATCAATTCTCCACATGAAAAGGTATTTTTTGCCAAAAAAATCCCATATATCCCTAGGGGAATTCCGCAAGGCGCTAAGCCGGTATCAGACGATCAAAGTGGAGCTCTCAAAGTGGAGTCACGTGGGGTCACGTGACCCCAATGAGGCAATGAGAGGGCCAATGGAGGGCCACATGACCCCACATGACGCCATTTTCAGAGCTCTACTTTGATCGTCTGATACGGGCTGTGCGCATTCGATGACGTTGAAGAGACGTATTTTCAAAAATTCACTGGGGAGCGAGAAACAAACTTGGAGAGCTCATTTTTTTTTCTTTTCTTTTCTTTTTTTTATTTATTTAACAAAAAAATATGGTACTAGTCCAGGTAAACTAGCTTTTTACCTCGGCCAAATTAGCACAAACTTTTCCTTCGGTACATAGGGTCTCTAGGTACCTAATAAGACAGAAAAAAAAGTTGGGTTGCATTTATCGGCACGCAAAAAAAGGGTAAATTCACGGAAAAATTATGTTTTTCACGAAATCGAAAATGAATGTCACAGTAATTGTAATAATTCACGCAATGGAAAAAATGTTGCACAAAAAATCAAAGTTGTGAACAGAGGAAAAAATACTTACACGAAAAATGAAGTGAAGAACAGGAAAATATATCGGAACTCGCACGCAAATTTAAAGTGCAGGAGCGGTAATCAGACGTCTTAAAGTTCATTAAAAATTCATAAAAATTCATAAAAACGTATTGTTCGTCGTATTGTTAAAATTATGTTTTTAAAAGAAATATACTAAAAATGAAGCGTCTTAATCTTGAACCAACAGAGCTTGCTTGGCTTTTGCGGGCCGCCCTCTCTTTCGCTTCTGGCCCAACGGAATTGTTTTGGCCTCTGGTGGTGCATTCACTAATTTCAGCCGGATTTGCATTCCCAATGTATGTTTACAAATGTGTTTTTTCAGGAAGTGAGGGCATGTGCAATCGCAGTCATTAGTATCCTGTTCATTAATCGAGATGGTCCAAATGCTGTAGTAGCTCTGCTTAAATTGGTCGAATGTCTTCCACTTACCGGCCACGGCTTTAAATTTGGTTAGACGTTTTTGAGTGATATTCTCAGACATAGTGGAGGAGGCCGTGAAAAACAGTGACCTATCTTTAACTGACTGTTTTAATACCTTCTTATTCATAGAGGCCTTTCATCATTACCAATGTTTGATCATTACCACAGGCCGCCTGCCTGCGTACCGACTGTCCCATGTCTTCGTTCTTAATTAGCCGTAGAGCCGTATCAAATTCAGAGTTAGTGGGCTTATATTTATTTACAGTTCATTTGATTTATTTTTTCGTTTCAACTTGCAGCAGAATTCTGTGGTATCAAATTAAAATGTCGTGCAAAAAATACCGCGCAGTTCAATAAATTTTGCGTGCATTCAGACGATTTTTGAAAAAAAAAAATTGCGTGCAAACCTCTTTTTTTTGCGTGTGCTTTATTATTCCCCAAAAAAGTTTACGGAAAAATTTCATCGGAAAAGTGGTCAAATCGCACGTTTACATAATGACGGCTTACAGCTATTTTCAAAGAGGACGTCCATATGGATTTTCCTTTGTAACTAAAAAATCATGCATCAAAGGAAAATTTCTTGAGATCAATTGGAAAATTTTGGTTAAGAATCATATTCAAAAATTCAGCTTTTATTACTTTTTTCCTTCTGAATATTACTACTTAAAAACACCAACCGGCACAATCTGCCGTAAGTTCACGATTTTTCGCGTTCTTGACCAATTTTAGGTCAGAATAATTAATTTAAGGTTGCAACAACAACTCAACTGCAGAGTACGTTAAAGGGGTGTATGCAAAATCAAAAATGAATATTGACCTCATGCTTAGAATGATTCGACTCACAATGCGGTCATAAAAGATTAAAAGGTGAAATGGTTGGGTATACTTACGTAAAAGGGGTGTATGCAAAATCGGAAAAAATTCTCCCCTCATGGATTTTGACGAATTTCCAGTAAGTATGTCATTCTCCATTATAGGATACGCCTTTCCCAAAAGTTTCAAGGCCTGAAATGAATTTCTTTCCGCGTAGTAGCGTTGCCAAGTTGAAAACCGTCGAGTTCCATATCTGTTGAACAGAAAATGATATTGAGGTGCAATTTGCGTTAAAATTCTCCAAAAAATGCGTTCTTTTGAAATATGTATTCAATTTGATCGTTTACCTAGGTACTTTAAGATTGCAATGATGCCATTTTTCAAAATTTCTTGAGGGTCAATTTTTGTTCAACCCTAGTACATTGTCAAATGCCGGATTCTCGATTCGAACAAAAAACTGTTTATTAAATTATTCGTACTTTTCCATTTCTTTTGATGTATTAAAGCTCCCAGGGAAACGATTGGTAGTGGAGAAATAAGCAATCTAAGGTTACGCTCTGCGCGCGCCGACTGGAATCCGGGCGCCGCTCGCTCGCCGCTCGGAGTCGTCTGCACACTCCCTCCCTTAAGCTTCACGAGGTCATTCCAGTGTATTTTTTTGCGAACTTTTCATTTCTGGCCTTTAAAAAGGCCTCCGATGCATTTTTAGGGGCCTTGCGGTCCATTGTTGCCATGTTTGGCTTGTACATAGGCTGTCCAAAAAGTACCGAGACTGCCCAGGTAGCAATAGTAACAGTTCAAAATTGCAATTTCACAACAGTTTTTACACTGTTACTTTTGTGCACTTTTTCATCGAAAAATTTGCTCTAGTACAACAGTTGAAAAACCAACGGAAAAGAGAAGTCCTTTGCGACTATAATCACTGAAAAATTTTTCTTACATACTTAAAAAATACCAGTGGAAAATTTATAATTTAGTCATGTTTTCTGAAAATATAACACAAATTTAACTAGTGTTATACACCGATCGAAAAGGAAACTATTATTGCAATAAAAACATACTTAGATTTGAAATAAAACGACGGTTTAAAATTCTCAATCAAAATCACTTACTTAACAAAACTTTTTTAAAGAAAGGAAAGTAGATTAACATTTTAATAACTAAAAAAAGTTAAAAAAATTATTCTAATTTATTTTTTTTTAAAGTTGATTTCATAAAACACAGAAGTAGACCATTTTGTTTTAAAAAAGCTATTTTACAAAACATAAAGTATTATACTGTACTAATGAGAAAAATTTAATCTAAATCAATAAAAAGATAAAAAAAAGACAATAAAAAACAAATTTAAATATCTCATTTGTTGCCATATTTTTGCAAAACACATTCTTATAAATAACCATGAAATATTAATTATTATTACATTATTTATTAAACAATATTGGTGAGAAACTATTTTTAAATCATTGTTTCCTGAAAACCGGTGTAGCTTTAATTTTTGTCGAAAAAGAATCCTTATAAAAAACTTTGATAACTATTTATCACTAACAAGGAAAATATAATTTAAATCGATAAAAAGATACAAGTGATAGTGATAAAATGACAGTTTAAATATCTGATTTATTGCAGTTTTTCTGCAAAACATTTTATTTTAAACAGTTGTGAAATATAAATTAGTATTACATTATTTTTTTAAATACCGATTTTAATTTCCGATTGTTTTATTGTAATCGGGGTGTTTCCTTTTATTTCCGATAGAGAGCTCCGATTTATTTTGTTTTTGGATGGGTCGTTTATGGTGCCTGTCTAACCTTTGTGTGTAGTGAAAACATAAAATATATTATTTATATTCTACGACATACGTTTTTTTATCGACGGCTTCTATGTTTGCTTTGTTCGGTGCATATGAGTGGATTTTCTTCTCACATTTTTGATGACCCCCCTGTGGTTAACTGTGCCTAGACAGGGCATGGGCCTATCTATAGCGTTGATTGTAGTGTGGTGTGTCGAGTGTAGTCACATCCCTGCTGCATAGTCTTTGTTGCTCCTCCTTAGAGGAAGTATCGGTGCTCACCGTCATCGGTGTTCAAAATAGAAATATGAGGCCTGAAACTGGGGAGTTCTATAATTGATCTTTTAAAACCAAAAAATAACAGTTTAACAAAATATTAAAAACGAATAAAATTTCATATATTGACACTGTTAATTTTCAATAAAACTACAATTTTACGAGTCGTTCTATTATTAGAAATTAGTTTTTCTATGGATATTTTAAGTTTTTTTTAATACTTTACAAGAATAATTCAAAACTCGTATTCAACATTTAAATTTTTTATTTTTATTTTAAGACAAGTGTCGCTTTACACCAGTAAATTTTCCAAATGAAATTTGTTTTTCACTACTTTAATCATTGTTGATTTATGTCATTAAATTATTTTAAACTGTTATTTTTAACTTCATAAAATAGGAATATAGCGCCTGAAACTGTTGTAACTGGGGAGTACTTTAATCGATCTTTTCAACCGATATAAATTGTTTTTTTATAATATATTAATAGGAATTAAAACTCTCATTTAATAGCAATAAAACTGTTATTTCGAAGATATAATAAAAATTATTTTATAGCAGACCTTGCTACCTGGGTGGTTCTATAACTCAAAAACCAAGATAGCTAGAGGCTTGATCTTGGTCTTATTTGAAAGATCAAATCAATATTTATCGATTGAGACCAAAATCAAAACTTTTGGTCAAATATTTCAAAAGTTACAACACTGTTTGTAGAAAAAATATCTGGACCCCCTACTGTTTTTTATGACTAATTTCTCTTGCCGGGAACACTCTCTAAATTATTGATGATCAGTGCACGGTTCTTTTGCAACCAATCATGGCGAAACCTAATTGATTTGGAAACACTGTCAAGCCGTTGTCGTCCGACTATACGGGTATGAGAGTTCAAAATTCCACGGGGAAAGAATGAACCATCGGTCAGCCACCCCTAAAAAATCCAGAAAATTTTCGGCAGTTGCTGACAATTCACAGTGCGTGCGTGGTCTACGCTGCAAATAGTGAGTGGTTTTGCTTCTGTGTTCGAAATTTTTAATACCACTGCTTTATCTCTTTCCATAAAGGTATCAAAATTATCTAACACAGAAACAAAATCACTCACTATCTGCAGCGTAGACCACGCACGCACTGTGAATTGTCAGCAACTGCCGAAATTTTCTGGATTTTTTAGGGGTGGCTGACCGATGGTTCATTCTTTCCCCGTGGAATTTTGAACTCTCATACCCGTATAGTCGGACGACAACGGCTTGACAGTGTTTCCAAATCAATTAGGTTTCGCCATGATTAGTTGCAAAAGAACCGTGCACTGATCATCAATAATTTAGAGAGTGTTCCCGGCAAGAGAAAATAGTCATAAAAAACGGTAGGTAGGGGGTCCAGATATTTTTTCTACTAACAGTGTTGTAACTTTTGAAATATTTAACCGAAAGTTTTGATTTTGGTCTCAATCGATAGATATTGAGTTGATCTTTCAAATAAAACCAAGATCAAGCCTCTAGCTATCTTGGTTTTTGAGTTATAGAAACAGTCTCGGTACTTTTTGGACAGCCTATGTATTTAGGGTTTTTTCCAATTTTACTCACAATTCTACTGTAAAACTTAATGTGAACTGAAAACTGTCAAGTCACCAAGGTCGTTAATGATGTACTTTTTTATGTTCTTTTCAAAATTGGAAAGTACAGGAAAAATACAAACGATACACCCCTACGAAGGATGACTAAAGGTCTAAAAACATTCAAAAAATCTATACACATTAGAAAAGGCCGCAAAAGGTGACATCCCGGAAAATTTTCACATCTTCGGAATCCAGATACAACTCGGCTTTTTTAATATGTTGTATAGATGGGTAAGATTTGTTACGTACCTACGTCAATGTAAAAGTTGCGCCCCACTTACTTAAACCATGGCGTGGCAATTAATCCAATTTTTCCAATATTTCGCTCTTTGCTACAATTTTTCTCGAAAATTTGGCAACGGAGGAAAAAATTATACATAAACGTTTATTTTTTTACGTTCTATCCCTCGACGCACACAGTTTTCAGTTTACATTAAGTTTTACAGTAGAATTGTGAGTAAAGTTGGAAAAAACCCTAAATACAAGCCAAACATGGCAACCATGGACCGCAAGGCCCCTAAAAATGCATCGGAGGCCTTTTTAAAGGCCAGAAATGAAAAGTTCGCAAAAAAATACACTGGAATGACCTCGTGAAGCTTAAGGGAGGGAGTGTGCAGACGACTCCGAGCGGCGAGCGAGCGGCGCCCGGATTCCAGTCGGCGCGCGCAGAGCGTAACCTTAGATTGCTTATTTCTCCACTACCAATCGTTTCCCTGGGAGCTTTAATACATCAAAAGAAATGGAAAAGTACGAATAATTTAATAAACAGTTTTTTGTTCGAATCGAGAATCCGGCATTTGACAATGTACTAGGGTTGAACAAAAATTGACCCTCAAGAAATTTTGAAAAATGGCATCATTGCAATCTTAAAGTACCTAGGTAAACGATCAAATTGAATACATATTTCAAAAGAACGCATTTTTTGGAGAATTTTAACGCAAATTGCACCTCAATATCATTTTCTGTTCAACAGATATGGAACTCGACGGTTTTCAACTTGGCAACGCTACTACGCGGAAAGAAATTCATTTCAGGCCTTGAAACTTTTGGGAAAGGCGTATCCTATAATGGAGAATGACATACTTACTGGAAATTCGTCAAAATCCATGAGGGGAGAATTTTTTCCGATTTTGCATACACTCCGTTTTGTTTGTCAAGTGTTAACGACATCCGTAAACAGTTGTCCTCCGCGTTAACGAAGTTGGTATTTTTATCAACCAATCAGAGCCCGGTGGCCTGTTAACGAGACTGTTAATGGGTTTCACTCTCATGTCAACCAGAATCGTCAACATGTTCGAAAACGTGGTCCGGAGCACGCGTTTACAAAACTATAAACTTACGGGCGATTTGGCGGGAAAGGCTGAGCCACGCCACTTGAATCACAACCTGGGAACGAAAATTTGTTTGATGTCGTATTTCGTAAACTGCCTACGGATTTCGTCAACAATTAACGAACGAATTACTTAATGTCTGAACGAATCCTAAGATTTCTCGACCACCTCAGAGATGAGTCGAGCAGTGGATTTGGGAGTAGACGGTGTCACAGAGAACGTCAAAGAACAATCAAGTGTCCGAAAAAAATGGCGGTAAGAAGATGAAAAGATATGAAAGTTCTGCACCAATTATACTGTATAGGTATAGCGAAAATAGGTATACCTAGATGAAGTGTGAATAGTGTATATGTTATTGTAATTGCAATAACACACACTATTCACACTTTTAGTTAACTATGGCGACTGTAGTTCAATTATAAATTTTCTTTATGTAAGTCAGTAATTTAATGCATTTTTCACCGATGAATTTCAAGGAAATCAATTAACGTGGTGGCTGTTTCGTGTAGGTAATCCTACTGTCATCATCCAGTAACAACAATAACGTTTTGAAATGATCTGAATGAAGTTCAAGTGTCTCTGTCATTCAACAGAACACTCGATAAATAACACGACAGATTTTAAAAAAAAAAAAACAACAACAACAACAAAAAAACCTTTTTCCAGCTCAATCGAGTTGTAAAATTAGCCGATTAGCGCGTTTTTTTAAAACTTAATCTGGGATTTTGTTGATTTTCCTAAGGATTGGATTGAAAATTGAATTCTTAATTTCGATTCGTCATTTGAACGATGGTAAAACAATCATGGATCGTCCAAATGATGAGCCGAATTCTGTCGCGGAAATTCGCCTTTAGTATGGCTTACCAATTACACCAGAAAGTTTTCTAAAGTATTAGTAAGCGTTTAGCACCGACAAATAAAAATCGACTTCTCTAATCCCAGAACAGTTTTTTGCTGTATGTCCTGCAGAATTTGAGATTCCATCTCCGGGGCTTTTTGCGTGACTCCATCATAAATATGAGAATGATCGAAAGATTGAGTTAGGTACTTACTTATAAGATGCCGTCGGAGCGGTGGTTCCTGAGCAGGGGCTAAATGGAAACAAACTGGGTAAAGGGTCGAGATCGAGAGTGGGAAGGGAAAGCTCGTCGGTCACTCCGATGCTCCAACCTCCGTCAAGCCCGTAGTGTGCCGGGTTATTGGGTATGTAGCAACCCTCCATCCCTCCGCCTCTGTCGATTCCGCCACTCCCTCTGCCGACCGGATCGCTACCGTCTCTCATTCATGCCTTCCGATTCCACACTCCCTCTTTTTCGGCTTGCCTGCAGTCCCTGTGAAATAAATGAACGCATCGCAAGATTACTTTTTTTTACGAACCAGAAGCCAAAAAGAAAACAAATGAGGCGCAATTTGTGGTCCTCAGATCCTCTCGTCTGAAAAAGATATTTTAACAATAAAAAACAAGCAGTGAACTCCAACACAATGTGTTGATAAGGCGCGTCATCAACTCGCACATATCAGCCCCTTTAGTTTTCATTTACAGAGATTTCAAAATAGGCAAGTAGCACAACAAGAGAATTCATACGATCTAACACTGCGAGGTCAACGACGCACTTTCACGAGACCGTGTATTGTGAATGTAGAAAGCCATTCGAACGAGTTTAAGTTTTTTTCTAATTCAGAAAATTCTAAATGAATTCTTTTTAAAGAAAAGTGCTACGTAATAATTTAAGCGAAGAAAGGATTTCTGTCGAACTCCTGAAAGATAAAGTCGATTTAAAGGTATTTTGGGGCTAAAATACCCAAATCACCGGTATTATGAATCCCGTTATAATACTGAAAAGAAATTGACTCGATATAAATGCAAGTGCTTTAAATATGTCTTGATTTTGTTGTTTTAAACGTATTTCCATGCAAAGAAGTTCAACCATGCCCATTCTTGATTCTTTAGTGAATTGAAAGTAAGCAATCTAAATCCCGAAAATCTACCGATTTGCCGTAAAGTCGCAGAAACTTTTACATACCAGGTCGATGTACCCACTCGTTGAATTTACCAATCAATTTCGTGAGTGCAAATATGTAAAAGTCAATACGAGGGCTGTCCCAAAAGAAACCGGACTTTTGTCATAGAAGGCGAACCGAGCGTCGTAATGAAGTTTTCTTGGGCTTGTTTGAAAGCTGATAAGCTACTGGAGATGCTTGTTTTTACAGAATGCAAAAATTCGTCTTGGTAAGGAAACTACACGCTTTGGAATAAAGGAAAGTCAAACTCGAGTTGCGATTTTTGTCTTTATTTCAAGAAAAATTTGGGTACAACTTTAAAAAAAAAACCCAGGTTTTAAGTTAAAAACTTCGTTGCTCTCTTACTCAAATGCTTAAAAATAAGGAAATTAACATTTTAAACAGCTTACCAAGTCATCACCAATCCCATTCAAAATACTCGCCAGCTTTGTCGATGCATTTTTGCCACCGTTTCTTCAATCGGAAGAAACACTGTTGGAAATCCTCAGGTTTGAATGATCGCAATTCCTTCGAAGTGCTCTCTTGAATTTCCGGAATGGTTTGAAAACGTCGACCTTTCAAGGTAGATTTAAGTCGTGGAAATAAGACAAAATCACACGGAGCCAGGTCATAGGTGAATGAGGGGGATGAGGGAGGACACTCATGGCATTCTTTGCACAAAATTCGCGAATTTGGAGGGATGCATGGGCAGGTGCATTATCTTGATGCAGAAACCAGGAATTGGCTCCGTATGATTTTGTCTTATTTCCACGACTTAAATCTACCTTGAAAGGTCGACGTTTTCAAACCATTCCGGAAATTCAAGAGAACACTTTGAAGGAATTGCGATCATTCAAACCTGAGGATTTCCAACAGTGTTTCTTCCGATTGAAGAAACGGTGGCAAAAATGCATCGACAAAGCTGGCGAGTATTTTGAAGGGGATTGGCGATGACTTGGTAAGCTGCTTAAAATGTTAATTTCCTTATTTTTAAGTATTTGAGTAAGAGATCAACGAAGTTTTTAACTTAAAACCTGGGTTTTTCTTTTAAAGTTGTAAGGTGAGGTTGGGTAACTGGGCAGGAGTTCGGAGAAAAATGTCAAAATTCCAACTTCATGATTTTTTTCCCATCATTATATTGACAGTGGAGGCTACTTTTAAATTTTTTTTAGTAAGTACAACACCTTGTCTAAATGTAGGAAGAGTCAAAAGTCGAATTTCATCTTTCAATTTTTTCCCACAAATTTTCAAAAATTTTCCGTTTTTTTCACCCAGTTACCCAACGTCGTGGGGTAACTGGACTACCCCCCCTTAATTTTTGAGGGGGGCATTATTTTTAATTCTCATTGGCCAGAAGGTGATGTCCTGCTCATGAAGGTTTAAGAAAATGTCATTTGAATGTATATAAACATGTTTAAGTGGTTAAGAATGATGTCGTAACAGTTAGCGGCAAAAATGTAATTGAGTAATGCGTAAGTTATGCTATAATTGACTTAAGTTAGAAGTTCAGTGTGCTGGGAACCCTGATTATTGGTCTTTGGCACTTAAAAGTCCACAATAGTCAATTAGTTTTGAAATTTTCAGAAGTAAACAAACACCGAAGCACAGCAACCTTGCAATGGGTAACTGGGCAGGTGCCACCACTGCCACCTGCCCAGTTACCTTGGGGTGGGTGCCCAGTTACCCCACAAAGGGAAAATTTTCAAGGTAACTGGGCATCAACCCTTTGCAGCCAGTATTTTCATCGAATTACGTTGTAATTACTCACGCATTACACAAATACATCATACATGAAGAAGAATTGTCAAAGTTGAATAAAATACTTGCTGGGAGTGAGATATGAGGCTCTTTTCGGGACCACCTCTGGCGTTGTTTTGAAAAAAAAGCTGTACAATTTTCGGCACTTCACCATTCACCATAAAATTTTTTTTTGAAGTTATGTTTACATGTTCTAGATGGTTTACGTCATAATGAAGGTATGCTAACAGTGAAAACAATTTTTGCACTAATCTGGTAGAAATACAGAGGGTACTGCCCAGTTACCCCACCGCCCAGTTACCCAACCTCACCTTATCCAAATTTTTCTTGAAATAAAGACAAAAATCGCAACTCGAGTTTGACTTTCCTTTATTCCAAAGCGTGTAGTTTCCTTACCAAGACGAATTTTTGCATTCTGTAAAAACAAGCATCTCCAGTAGCTTATCAGCTTTCAAACAAGCCCAAGAAAACTTCATTACGACGCTCGGTTCGCCTTCTATGACAAAAGTCCGGTTTCTTTTGGGACAGCCCTCGTATTCTTTAGTCATTTTGGGTGCATTTATTTTTCATGAAACAACAGTAGGTAAGTAAGTTAATCCTGAAAAACCATCTATATTCCGTATAAAATCAAAAAAATCAAAATATGTCGGCTTCCTGACGTGGAAATTAGATTCTACGTGTAAAAATACTTACCTATGTATCGATATGTTGAACAGAAACCATGTGTGGACACAGTCAGAAGTCCGCGGCAACATCAATTTAACAGAAAAAATTGGATCGAATTTTAGCCGCTTTGCCCGCCTCTCCTCGTTATTTACAAACCGTTCCTATACTCATCTCAAAATTTTTCTCAGAGCTTTGTGTTATTATCAGCTTCCATTTAAATCCGGTTCGATGACCGAATCGGCTGCCCAAAAAGCAAGCCATTTTTGAAGGGCTCCATGAGAACTTCGTGATATTATCGGCGCTCAGGAAATCACTCCATGGGTAAAATTGCAGGTACAAATGTTCGAGTGCTTAAAATAATCGTATTCAATAAGGCATTAAATTATGGAGTCACTTTCGTTTTAATGATATAACGGGATTTACTACCGGTGATTTAGCTATTATAGCCCTAGAATACTTTTAAAGCGCCTTTACTTTCCAGGATCTTGAAGGAATTTTTTTCTTTTTGGCTTAAACAACTTAAAAGACACTGTAGGTAAAAAATATAAAGAATTTTCGATTTTGACCCAAAAAAAAATGTTCGTTCAGGCACACCGTGTATCGTATGGAGTCAACCCTTGTCTTCAGGTCAAAATTTTTACAAAGAAGCCCCCTGCAAGAGGCGAATTTTTTGTAATTTCTCCCAATTTTTTCTCCGTTATATAAATTGAATTGTTCGTCAACTTCTGAGGTCAATTATATTTAATTGTAATTTATACATTACTTTCTTTCCCCTTCATTTTAGTTTTTGTTTGGAGAAGTTTTGTTGATTTCTTAGGATTTCGAATACTGTAACTTCTCTTCTATTTGGCCGATTTTTATGAATGAGACCTCTTTTAATTCGTGTTTTAACGGAGAGTAAGGAAAAAATTGCTAAATACACGCGCAACAATTTTTTGGAAAATTGGACGAATCCTAGCGTGACGGCGAAATAGTTAACCAAGCGTAAATAATTGCGTGAGAGACCGAGTCGGGTCGCTCGGGAGGATCAATAGAATCTGCCTCGGTCTCGGGACAGACGTCCGATGTGCGGGGAGGACATCAGGAGAAGGGTAAGTGGATTTCTGTAAAAGCAAATTGATATCTGTATGTGTTATGGTTAGCACATGGTCTAATGAGTTTTGAGGCTCATCACAGAATGCACTTACGGCTGTCCTGGCTGGCCCTGGCTATCAGAGCAGTGGTACCAAATTTTGAAAAGCATAACAGGGGTGTAGATATCTGTCAATGCAACGTTTTAAACACAACGGAGGAGTGAAATTCTCATTCGAAAAGTGCTGAACTGCTCAGACATCCTCGAATCAGTTCGTTTGCTTCTGCTTATATATGCATATTTTAAATTAGTGCGGAGCATTCTTAAGTTTTTTATTAAAAAAACCAAGTAACGTAGACTCTTGGTATTCATTGCACATAAACTAGAAGGCCCCAGAATGAGAAAAAACTTTAAATCATGATTATTTACGGATTAGTAAATTTTTCACACGCTTTGGAAAACCTCAAAAGTTCGCGGCAGTCACTTTCCGGGTAGGAACTAAGGGACTCGGTTATTGTATCGAGTGGGGGGTCGAAACGATCGCAAAGGCGGTACACTACGTATACGCGCCAAAAAAGAAAAGAAGCGGGAAAGCTCTAATACGTGGGTATTCGAGAAGCGCTCAGCGGAGAGCGCAATTTTAATGAGTCTCAGCTTTAATGTACTACCTATGAACTGAGTATGTTTAAATTTGCAGTAAAAAAATTAAGTAATTCTTAATATATTACTAAAACATCTAAAATGGTGCTTTGCTCCTCCCCCCCCCCACCAAAAGAAATTCCAAGATCCAAAAGAAAAAATAATGATCCATTACTTAAGTATTGAAATATTAAT